GTCAGAAAAAAGGGACCTTATTACACAGCCAATTTCGCGCAAGTCGGAACATATCTGCAACAGGTCTGTTACAACTTGTTGTCAACAAGGCGATATTTAGATGCGTTCGCCCGCCTTGCACCTGTCTGCCGTCCTGACAGGTCCGCAACGGCTTGTCAACAGGTCTGTTACAGTATACTGTACACGCGGTGGTAAACAATTATATTAATCATAAATGAGGAATTAATGGTGGCGGGTGGTGTAAAACGTGCAAAGAAAGGCTATTCTATAGTGTATATAGTGATTAGTGGCTAAACTTGAAACATCCAAAATTAATTATAACTCAAGTTATTGATACTACGGATATCATCAAAAAGATGACACATTTGATGACCTAATTTTGATTCCTTAGTTCGAATTCAAAAGAATAACCAAATAGTCAAACTGATAGATTGACGCTCTCTAATACGGTGCATCGGACATGGTATGGTGACATTTTTATGGTGATTTTATGTAATATTTCAAATCCGAGTTAGTGCCAGTAGACGTGGTTTCTAAATACAAGTGTAAATACATGAAATGTACTAAATTGTAATTTTCATTTTAAACACAAACGTACTGGGAGGAAACTCATTCTCGACTTGGAAACAAGTTAAAACTGTGAAGCACTTCATGTATATAAACATAATTTAATTATAAGCTGGTCCGAATTTGCAGTGTGACCAGATTTGATAAAATATTTTACTTTTGGTAAAATTTCACCAATCTTGAAAAGGTTTAGTAATGAGACTTTTTAGCAAAATTTTTGGTAAATTTTAGGTAAATATAGAGATTTTAATTGATTCGGTAATTTGTTGGTTGGTTTCTTGCGATTAATGAAACTGATCTAGCCTGCAAAACCCGGCAATTACTGAATCATTGAATCATAAATTATTGGGTTTTCAGGCTAGTTGTCTTGTCGAAACTATCAGATAACACTATCGTTTTTCACGAAAACATTTACCTGCATTAAGCTAATTCTTCTAATATATTGATCAACCTCGTCCCCTGGGTATGGAATTTTATCAAAGATAGGTGGGGGGGGGGGTGTGAAATTGATTTGACAAAATGTTTCTCATCAATTTAGAAAATTTTGAACACAAGTTTAGTATTACTGCTGGCAAAAGCTGGTTTCATACATATTGTAAAGTTGTCCCAATGGCCTCGTTTTTATGTTTGCCTGTTTTAGCATGGCACCTATGTTTCGACGTTTCGTTAATCCATACCAATCATAGATACAAGCCTTTTCGAATCTATGGGAGGTGAGCATCCCGTTGTACCGACTAAATGGACGTGTTCCCATGAAAATATAGGCGTGGCTTACCATAGACAGCTGCTGTCTAACTATCTAAGTTATAGATAAATCTTGAGATTTTGTTAGCATCTAGTTACTCTCGATTGAATACTGTTCCTGGTTAGATCTAATAAATGTATATACATTTCCACTCAATAATTATATAATTTCTATCTACAAGACCCTTCAACTATTATTCAATCGGTAACTTAGCGAAATTTACCTGTAACCTAATTCATATACTTGAACTTGTGGTCGATCAGAGCTCGACAACTGGCATCCGCCCAATTGGTTAGAGCCCTGCACCGGAATCGCAGGGCCGCAAGTTCAATTCCTGCCAGGGACCTGGTGCATTTTTCGCAGCTGTTCGTTAGGTCCAATAAATGTATATAAATTTCCACTCGGTACTTCCCACCAAAACCCTTCAACTACATTTTGCCAAGCTGCGTGATCAATGTGACAATGTCTAACCGTTTACCCACTGATTCACTGAAAAGTAGTGGGGACTTATGGTAACACCCCCCTCCCACGCTATGTCCTTGCCCATACCCATACACATATCGCAATCTGCCTGCAACCGTGAAAAAATAAATTTGAATTTCCGCCACTGAAGCATGCGTGATGTGTACATGGCTAGGACTTGCATGCGGCGTCTGGCGCAAGAAATGTTAATTAGTTCATTCATTTGCGCACGCATAATTTATTTGTTACGCGATTACTACAAAGCTAGTGAAATACATAGTTGCAAAACAAGAATATTATAAATAGTTTATTTTTACATCGATCATATAGCTTGCAAACTAAAAAGATTATTTCATATATTATACGTTCTACTTGTACTGATCCGAGTCTGATCGTGCGACGCCGTCTCGTTAATAAAATCGTTCTAGGAGATCAACATTTTCATTTGCCTTATTTAACTTATTACATGACATCACTATGACCTTAATTTGTCTTTTGGTCATCGAAGGGCAAACACTAAGCTACAGGATATTTTTGTGGTATCAATTTACAGCGATTTGCACGGTTATTGACATCTTTGACCAGGCGCATAATAAACAAAGCATCTCGGTGTTGCTTGTTGACTGCCGTCTGGCGTTTTCGTCGAAAGAGAGTAAGGAATTTTTCCTCGCCTTCACTTTTTCGATTGAATATCGGTGATAGACAGTACTTGAAAGTTTGTTAAAACTTTAAATTCTCCATTGACAATATGTTGAAGGTTGGAAATTCTAATATAAAGGGGGGCAATAATTCTTTATTGCCTCAGGTTTTTCAAGTGATTGTCGTTACAGCAGTTTGTGGATCATTCACATGTGGACATGTTGTGTCTTTGATCGTGATGTTATGCAATATGACAAACGTCGTCCTTTTGCCAGCTATTCTCACGTATCTAGTTTGGTTTCTCGCCTACGATTTCAAAAGGTCGTCGAAGGGCGGCCGTAGATGGAACGCACTTCGTAATCTGTCAAGCTGGAATTATTATCGCGATTATTTCCCGGTACGACTTATAAAAACTACTGAACTAAGCCCTGAAAAGAATTATATCTTTGGCTATCATCCTCATGGTGTCATGTGTGCTGGAGCTTGGTGTAACTTCGCGACTGAAGCAACAGAATTCAGTAAATTATTTCCAGGACTTACACCGCATCTGTTAACCTTGAAATGTAAGTGAATTACTGAACCATACATAGAAATTTTAATAATTTCTATACGTTTTAGTTTACGCATAAGAACCATGCATATAATGATCAATATTTTTTAAACTATATTTAGAATTTAATAAAACATGTGTCCGATACTCCGATAAGGCGACATTTTTGTGTGTATGTCATCAAATTTCAGAAAATTCGGGAACTTGTTTCTGGTTTTGTATTTCGGACAATAGACTATATAGTATATGGCTATAAACACAATTTGGACTATGTACGCTCATGAGTTAGTATGCGCGAAAAACAGTCTATATATTTGCGAACTAAGAATAGAGATCATGAACAAACACTCATCATGAGATGTTTTGAACTTTGTTCTTGATCGTGATACTTGAGATTTGAGTGAAATTGTTTACATATTTTTCTTTGTTTCAAATTTCAGTTTTAATCTAAATGACTAAATCAATCACAAATACTGATACAGTAATTAGTTAACATAGTATGCAAATGTGTTTTGGTCAAAAACTGAAATCTGATTGGATTGCATAATTAATCTCGTACGCATCGGACTAGTAGAGACGAGAGCGAACGAATATGTAATTAATAAACAAGGACTTAATTTGCATGATCATGAGTCATGGCATTTTTTACAAATTGAAAAGCCCAAAGGGAATAAATGTTAAGTCAAGGACTCAAGACGTGCATGTGGTTAATATATTTGTACAGGGTGTACAGGGTGTATACAGGGTGTATCAAAAAAAGGAGACCTTTAGAAATCAAGCGGCATATTGTTAAAATTTGAATGCCTTTTCAATTGCACATATGCTGAACCGTGGTGCGTGAAATATTGATGGAGTGCATATATTAGAAAAAGGAGACCT